AAAAAATCTTATTTTTTGCTTTCTTTAAAATTGTTTATTAACGATTTTTTGCATAAAATGTTCCTTTTACATTTTTTAAATAAGCCATTTCGATGAGAAATTCAATTCTCTACAAAATTTTTCCTATGAACTATACCGAACTTTTGCTTCGTTATCGTGCTATATTTAAAAAACTGCAAAAGTGCATTTTCACTCCTATTTTCAATTTCAACCCTCTAATTTAATAGCACTCCGCGATTTTTTCATTTTTAATGACCCTTCGAACAAGTCATGTGTAGAAAATCCTTGAACGTCTTATTTCCTTCCTTTTTTGTAAAAAATGAGAATTAAAACGTATAAGGCTAGACGCGACGAAAGTAAAAAATTTGGCTAATTGTAAGTTTGAGCGGCCATATATCAGTCAGTTTTTATTCAAAAATACTTTACAACCTCTTATTTTGAAGGAAATGTTATCTACTTTTTTTTCTATGAAGCAATGCCTGTACTTATCTTTACTAAAAAAAACTAGAGGCATAAAAGTAAAAAAAAAATCAATAAATCGATTTTTTTGCTTTTTTTCAAATTGTTTATTAACCTTTTTTTGCATAAAATTTTCCTTTTAAATTTTTTAAATAAGCTATTTCGACGGGAAATTGAATTCTCTAAATAATTTTTCCTATGAACTATAGCGAAATTTTGCTTCGTCTTCGAGCTACAATTAAAAAACTGAAAGGGGTACAATTTCAACCCTTTCTCCAATTTCCACCCTCTAATTTAATAGCACTCCGCCGTTTTTTCATCTAAAATGACCATTTGAACGATTCATGTAATAAAATATCTTGAATTAAAATCCTATAGGTATTCAATAACCTAATATTCTGATAATGTTCAATGACTTTTTTAAAATATACTGATATGAGTGATTTCAAATCTAAACATATTTGCAGCATCCTGTATATTAAAATATATTACGTTGACATGATGACATAGAGAAACCATTGTAAAATTTGTTCAGTTCTCTTATCCAAACAAGTTTTATTAATTTCGCATAAACATACGAAATTAATAATTAAAACCAATAATTAAAGTTAATTATCCAAAAATGTATAATAATGCATGATAAATTGATGATTAACATATAATTAAAAAAAGGCTTTCTGATCTACAAATTGCTGACGCTAAGTGAATCATCAAATCAAAATTGGCAATGATATTACGACAATAACATCGTAAAATGGTAATCTGTTTAGAACTATGGCTGTCATGATGTTTTTTTGAGAAACTGTACTGTAAAAAATATTAATAGAGGGAACTGGTATATTTTCGATCAAACAAATGATTATATTTCATTCTATTTCTTATTCTAGTAAGGATCTTTTATTCTACAACTCTTCCTCGTTATGGAACAATTGTATTTTTTAATTTGTCTTTTTCACCAGCTTGTATAGTCTTTCCGAAGTCAGTTGAACATATATAAAATCGCGTAGCTATATAATTTAATTAGTTTTATAGGCGTCCCTAAAAAAGTTTTCTGTTTAAGGTAAAAAATTATAATAATTTGTATATAATGTGTAGAAAATTTCTATTATATGTTTATTAGGCCAACATATTTCAGTTATTTATGTCCTCAAACAATTTTATAATATTGATGGTAAATTTCGTTTTGTTCCATTTCTAAAGGCCTCCAAAATGCCATGTTGTAATGATATTAGTAAACAAAATATCCCTCTTATTTCTCCCTTTCGCAATTGTAATATGAATGATTAATAGAAGGCGCCTATAATAAATTGAAATTACCTGAATCACACCAAATTCCGCATTGCTGCACTGCACTGCTAGGCAATTTGTCAACCACTTGTCAACAACTAGATTTATTGCCCAGTCGTTCAATGCAGCTGTGTTTGTATTTCGTTTGCCCGCGCGTGCATTCTTCAACTGGGCGTATACATTTCTACCACCTCCACGTTTAGTTCGACCATACCTGTATATTGGGTGTTGTATAGGTATGGCTATATGAATATGGGAACAAGTTTTTCAAATATTTCAATGCCGAGTTGCTGCGTCAGCGACTGAATGTGCTACATATTGCCAACCTCTTGGTTCTTCAATTGAGATCGGAAAGACTATACTTAATAGAAAATATTATTGTACGACAATTTAGTAGTATGTATCCTTAAAAATGTTCTCTTTGTTCCAGATATGGAATGGATCTCAACGGAGCTCGAAGGAAAAACGCAACCCGTGAGACCACCAGCACCCTCAAAGCCTGGCTTAATGAGCATAAGAAGAACCCCTACCCGACCAAAGGCGAAAAAATCATGTTAGCCATTATAACTAAAATGACTCTTACCCAAGTATCAACCTGGTTCGCTAATGCACGAAGACGACTCAAAAAAGAGAACAAAATGACTTGGGAACCGAGGAACAGAGTGGAAGACGACGACAATAATAACGATGATGACGATCACGACCATAAGAGCACTGACGGCAAAGATTTAATAGGTAACTATTATTCCATTACCGTAATAATAATTGGTGGGATTTACTTTGTATATTTACACCTCGATTTTGTTGCAGATTCCAAAGATTCTGGTACCGCTTCAAGTGAAGACGGCGACCGCCCACCGCATCCTCGTTTGGCAGCGGATACAGCCAGCGAATGGAGTGAATCAAGACCCGACAGTGGACCCGACAGTCCGGAGATATATGAAAGACCACCACACCCTGCCTTTTTACCACCAAGATCGTCAGGCTCCCCACCCCAACTCTCGGCTTCGGTGACTTCCAAACCAAGGATTTGGTCTTTGGCTGACATGGCCAGTAAAGAAAGTGACGGTTCACCACAATCTGCTGCGTCTACTCTATACTCAACAGCGGCAAGTAGGCTGGTACCCACCCTGGGGACACGTCTACCACCTCCCGGTTTACATACAGCACCTTACGCAAGACCACATGATTTCTACCGGAGCTTGTACGGTCCAGCAGCAGCACAACATTTAGCCGCTGCCAGCGGCGGTTCACCCGACGCTTCGTTGTTGGAGACGTACCAGAGAACATTAGGGGCAAATTTGATGGCGGTGCAAAATTCGGCCAGTGCCAGTCACTCGGTGCAGTCGTCCATTAGTTCAGTGTTTACCAAAGCAGGTTTGGCGGCCGCCACATCTAGTAGCAACGTGGTCCTGCCGCTCGGCCTTACGACCAGCTCTTCCAGAATGTCGCCGTCCTCGACGTCCTCGTTGTCTTCTGGTTCGGAGACGCCCATAAAACCTGTGGCGTTGAATAAGGCTTGACCTTCCTCGGCGCTGGCCGGCTTCTGGCCTTGATCTACCTCGTCAGGTGTACTCGACCAATGTGGACAATAACGGACGCCTATATCCGTAGTGTGCTGTACAGTAAATGTGATATATACCTTTTGGTTCCTTAGTGGTGGCGCTAGGACGTTCGCCTTAGTTCTCGATTCTGTAAATATTTCAGACTGCGCACGCGCAGCAGTATAAATCTTGTATCTATGTATGTATCTAGTATAGAACTGTAAGTAAATATTTGTTATTACAATGTGTAATATTTAGAATAATATACATGAGGAATATACATACATACGTGGAAGTTTAGCATTCATTGTATTATAAAAATTCACCACACACGAATATTTTTTTCAGCAGACATATCATGCAGGACGAAAGATAATATATTATATATGCATTTCCCATTTACCCAATCGTGTGTTGACGCTGCAATAAAGTAAATCATTCATTATTTATTGCTTCGTTTCATTTCCAACTCTCCTCCTGTCCCGTACAAAAGATTTTGCGCCGCCGACTACGTTTTATAGTGCAGACCGGGTCACCGGTGCGGCCTCACTCATCAACTTAGAATACGCTGACAATAGGTATGTATGTCTATAGTAAAAATCAGCGACTGGACCACCACCAGAGGACAACAATTTGGGATAGCAGAACAATGAATCTTTGATTCTGGTAGAGTCGGACCCAGAGACGGCAGTCTGGGGGTCCAGGTTATTATGCTTGAGCGGTGAATTGTCAACGTGGTTTGTATTTGTACTTAATTTAGTAATTTCGACTAATCGCATGCACGCTGGCAAGATGTAGATCTTCGGTAGGTATATTAAAGTGTGTTTATTAAACTTTCTGATTAACATATTGTCAACATTTCAAGAACTAATCCACCAATTTCATGCAAAACGTTTATATACTTATTTAAGTAATAATATCAAAAAATATATTTATTTTGTAATCATCGATATACAGCGTGGTCCTTAAGTACGTTCAGAAATTAAAAGAAGCGGTATCTAAATAAATCCTACAAACTTACGAGTATGTCTAAAGAGTTTGACGTAATTTTTTGAAAATTATCACATCTACGCAAATCTCGAAAGTTGTTTGACGATTTTGGGTAGCAATTTTATACACCTTTGCTACCTGTTACCTGCTAATGCCAGGATGATCCAAACTTCATAGTCGCCGATCGTTCCTACCTCTGTTGGCGACATGTGCAGCGAAACTCTCAGTTTTTTTACTATGAGGAAGTCTGGCTCTTGCTCTACTAGTTATATCATTTACACGATATACATACAGTGTTATTTTTTAAAACCTGACAGGCCAACTAGACTAGTACTTCCAAATACAAAGTTGTAGGAAATAACTTGATAAAAATTTACAAATAATTCTTTCCGGTGTTGTCAGATTTCTGTAGTAGCTACAATAACGATATTTTTTGAAATGTCAACACCGTATTTTTTTAACATAATTTGACGATCCTTCAAATTCTAAATGAAAATGTTATGTCACATTTCCTTATTGGAGTAACCGTTTTCGAACAATCAGCAAAAACAACGAAAATAATCTGCTGTCGGCAGGAACTAAAGGAAGCTAAAACAGCAATAGTAGGCCTAGGATATTAAACAAAAATTGTGTTTGAAAGGAGCCATCATTATTGTATTGTCATTGTGTTATTTGAAAGCTGTTATATTTGAATGTGTATAAAAGTAACGTTTTAATTCAATTGCGAAGCATTTGCAGCTCCTACTAGTTGTTTTCAGTTTTGCTAAGTTAGTTCTTAAAAACTCCAGATTTGGAAAAGGCTTATTGGGATGTCTTGCTTGAAATTCAGCCCACGCATTGCGTATACTTAATCCATTAACATGAAGAAAAATTAATTCAACTTTCTCTTTTGAATTAAATAACTGATTCATCTTAGCAACTGAATTAAAACGTTATTTTTATACACATTAAAATACAACAGCTTTCAAATAACACAATGACAATACAATAATGATAGCTCCTTTCAAACACCACAATTTTTGTTTAATATCCAAGGCCTACTATTGCTGTGTTGGCTTCTTTTAGTTCCTGCTGACTGCAGATTATTTTCGTTGTGTTTGCTGATTGTTCGAAAACGGCTATTCCAATAAAGAAATGTGACATAACATTTTCTATTTATAATTTGAGGATTTGTCAAATTATGATAAAAAAATACGGTGTTGCCATTTAAAAAATTTTGTTTTAGTAGCTATTGTAGAAATCTGGCAACACCGGAAAGAATTATTTGTAAATTTTTCTTAATCAAGTTATTTCCTATAACTTGGCATTTAGAAGTTCTAGTCTATCATTTTAAATAAAAAAGTTGGCCTATGTCAGGTTTTAAAAAAATATCACCGTTTGTGTAATATATGACAAATAGTTGGGCATGTAGCCCATAGTGTTCTTGATTCCCGTAATATCAATAATTTAGCTTTAACAAGGCACTTTAAAAACTATGACATGGATTTTGAAAACATATAGGGAAAATTATTTATTGCAACGAACAAAAAAAAATAAATAAAGTTGAAATAAAGTTTACAGTCCATTTAATCAACGAATAATCTGTAATGTCAAATACCGACAAAATGTGACTGACGTTTTAAACCAGAAACCATATTATATTTTCCTTGAAGGATTTTGATGCGCTGAATCCAAATCCGGATTGTTCCATTACCTTAGGTTTTAGAGATATCCTAACCTAAAATTAGAGTAAATATCGTAAAATATTACGCTATATGTGAGGTTATGTTACAGCACGATGAATTTTTTTTCACAAAACTTTATGGTATCGGAAAGCACACTCTTCTTCAAAATCCATTTTGAATCGCTAGACTAGCTCATTTCCTTTCCAATCACTTCGTCATTCTTTATCAAAAACTTGCATTAAACAATAACTTTATATACAAGGTGGGCCATTAGTGTGAGAAAGTAAAATAACTCCCTTGTTATTCTTAATACAGAAAATTGTATATAAAAGTTGTACAGAATCAAAAAACCTAAAGAACAAAATTAATTTGAAACATATAGGGTGATGAGTAAAAACGGGACACGCCAAATATTACATTTTTTAAATGGAACACCCTGTATATTTTTAAACATATAGATTTCTGAGGAAATTCTATATATGACAAATATACAGTTTAACATTTTAGTGTGAGATCACTAAGTTATATAGAATATTTTTCGAATTTTGCAAAAAACATGATCTCGAAGAAGTTATATTAACTTTCAACTACTAACACTTGGAGTAAAAATATTTGACAGACTTATAGGCAAATGATAGCAAATATCGATATTTTATACAGAGCATTTTTATAATACGATCATTTCTAGAAAGTTTAAACTTGATTTTCTAAAATTTTTCAAATGGAACACCCTGTATTTTATTGTTTTATTTCACATATCAGTCCACTTTTATTAAGTATGTTGTAGACCTAAAGTTGTTAGTTTTTAAGATATAGCAACAGTTCTGGAAAACCTAATTTTGATTATTTTCAGTTCATAGTTTATCATTCCATTTTGAATTAATTTTATTAATTAATATTTATTTGTGGTATTCTCTAAAATAATAAAAATTAGGTTTTTTCGGAAATGTTGCTATAACTTAAAAACTAACAATTTTAGATATAGAACATGCTTAATAAAAGTGGAAGTGAATCGATATATGAATAAAATAGAACAATAAAATACAGGGTGTTCCATTTGATAAATTTTAGAAAATCAAGTTTAAACTTTCTAAAAATGACTGTTTTATAAAAAATGCCCTGTATAAAATATCGATATTAGCTAATATGGGAGCATTTGTCTAACATTTGCCTATAACTAATTACTTTGTTCCAAGTTTTAGTAGGTGAAAGTTAATACAACTTCTTCGAGGTCATATTTCTTCCAAAATTCAAAGAATTTTCTACATAACTTTGCAACCCCACACTAAAATGATAATGACTCATCGCCCTGTATGTTTTAAATTAATTTTGTAGTTTAGGTTTCTTGATTCTGTACAACTTTTATATAAACTTTTTTTCTGTATTATGAGTAACGAGGAAGTTATTTTACTTTCTCACAATAATGGCCCACCCTGTATGTATACAGGGTGTATCTAAATAACACCGAAAAAATTCAAGGGGCGATTCTGCGATGAAAATTAATAGGGGTCTTTGGTATAAAATTTTTTGAAAAAACCCTCCCCTGAAAAGTTACGCCCCTCCTAAAATTACAAAAAAAAATTGTTTTTCTTTTTTATCTTCCACGTACATCAAGCTAAAGAAACCAAACTTGGTGAACATTATCTGTCAATAAAACTACACTTTTTGAATTTTTTTCAACCCTGAACTATTTTTGTAAGGGGTTGAAATAATCAACCCCTATGACATTTTTTCTTATAATTTTTTTTTCGATAAAATTTTTTCCTTTTAAAAAATATGTCTAAAAAACCCCATTCATTTACTAACTTTTTGATCTCTTCAAGTTTCTTCGAAAAGTTAAGGATTTATGACAAAAAAAAATAAATGTATTGTAATGTATTTTTAAAAAGATGAGCTGTTTAACGCGAGTGTATTTTGCCGAAAGATCTAGTGGCCTGTTCTTTACAATGGAATCCGTAGAAACAAATGTCAATGTCATTTATTGTCATATTAAATAACATTTTATTAAAAAACACTCAACCAAATAGTTGACCTATGATTCTACTAGGCTAAGAAGTTTGGAACTTAGACTAAAAGTGAACAAATGATGAATAATGTTATAACAGTAACAAAAAATAAAAATCTGTCGGATATTGACAATACAATCTACAAAAAATGTTGAAAATGATTGCCTTCAGCTTCAATACAAGCATCTACTCTTTTGTGTAGTGTTCGACAATTTTTTTTCATTTCTAAATTCCAACTTCGTTTTTAATCCATACGTCATATTTAATCCATTTTGCAATTGCGACTTTAGATTCGTAATCAGCGACCACGAAAGCCTGAAAAACCAGTGGGAATTTAGGTGTTTGTAACTTGACTATCCTCTCTTTTTGAGACTTCATCTGATGCAACTCAAAATTTCCGAATGTCAGCGAATACACCAAACTAACCAACTTAAACATATGATTTCTTACAGAGGAAAAAAATATTCGAACGAGTGGTACTTTCGGATGCCATAACCGCGTTTTCCGCACTTTTAGGTAAGAATATCTCAGTGCGTCAAAAACCTTTGGAAAAGTAGTCAGGCGTCTGGTTTCAAACTATGTCGGTTTGTGATATCCTCAGTGGTCGTTCCATTATACTATAAATAAAGGAAAGATAGGCAAAGAAGAAGATAATGAACAACAAAAGAGGCGACATATTGGACAGATAGGGCTCAACTTCTTTTGAAAATAGGATCAAACAACGCTCAAAATTTAGGTTACTCAACCCAGTGTGCAA